ACAAGAGGGAAGTCCTCTGTGTGTATGCACTCCTGAATGCTAAAGATGACACATAGCTGAAGCTGGGTTTTCTAATCGTAACAGTTATAGCTAGGCCATATTCCCCTGATGCAGCTGGAGGATGGGGTAAAATAAGGCTCTGGGAAGTGAAGTGGTTGGAATGGCCAGGGCTAAAGGCTAGTTGCAGTTAGGCCTGGCCAAATCAACTGGTTTTGTGGGAGGGGTTGAGGACCTGAGATGGAAGGCATGCTAACAATGGTAATTATGTAAGCACTTAAAATACCTCAGCCCATCCCTGCTTTAACAGTTTCTGTTGAGAAATATGCTAGTGTTCCAATGGACTTGACTTGATAAATGACTTGCCACTTCTGATTGTATCATCTCTGAATTAAATTTGTATGTCTTTCTTTGTATTCTTTTTTTGGTGACTGTATATGTCCTCTTTCATCTTATTGACCATTCTTACCATAATCCTTCAACCACTCCACTATCATTCTGTGTGACTGTTGACTTTTTCAGTGTCACTTTGCCTTTCGCATATTTTGTGTTTCCACTTGTCATCTGTAGTTAATTCATTAGCTGGAGGCCTTTAATAAACTAAAGCCTTTCCATTGAATTGTTTTCTATGTTCTGGCAGCATTGGTATGGGCAGGATTGGCATGCCACTTCTTACCACCTAGGGATCTAATTCAGCAATAACAACCATTTCAGCAAACCAGATATATAAAGTAATATACCACTGACAACATCATGTTATATATAAATGTGACTACCATTCTCTAATGGTACAGTATGGGTTAGACAAATAAAATTTTATTTGAATAGGAGTTCAAAATTAGGAAAAATGAGATGAGGGAAGAAACTTGAGGACTGAAGTTTGAGTACTGCAGATAATGTACTATTGTGTACAAATGTATTTCAGTTTTCTCTATGTGCCAGCAGTTGGGCTTGAAATAGGCCTCATGCTTTCATTTGGCTTTCTTGCTCAAGACTGGTGCTATACCACTCTCAAGACATACCTCCAGTTCCTATATTTCAATTCTTGTGAAGGTGGTGTTGTCATCAAGAATTGAAAGGGTTAGAAAATAAGAATAAAGGGAGATAGAATAAAGCACCTGATGAATAGTTTGCAAACAAAAGATAGGAAAGTTAAAAAGAAAAAATGACAATATGTAAGACTAAAAAAAGTTCTTAAATTCATTTTTTCCTTGTTGAAAAGAGTGAATGCTGCACTGTAGTAATATAATAGATTATTTTCCTCCAGTCTCTGGTCTTTAGTTTTTTCTTTCTTTGTTTTTGTTTTGCTAGCCCTGGGACTTGAACTCAGGGCCCAGGCACTGTCCCTGAGACTTCTTGTTCAAAACTAGCATTCTACCACTTCAGCCACATTGTCACTTCTAGCTTTTGGATAGTTTATTGGTTATAAGAGTCTCAGGGTCTTTCCTGCCAGGACCGGCTTCAAACCATGATCCTTGGATCTCAACATCCTGAGTAACTAGGATTACAGGCATGCACCACTGGTGCCTGGTTGGTCCTTAACATTTCTGCCTGCAGTTCCCCTATATTTACTCATGTATCCTCAGGGTCTTTCATTGACCAACTTGCATGCAGTGTCTGTGATTGGTTTAGGCCTGGGTCAGAATTACTTGTTGGAGTGAGGCAGGGAAGATACTGTTGAGTCAGCAACTCCAAGGAGTTGAGCTACTCTGCCTGGATTCAGTAGGGTGATTCCCAGAATGTGACATAGCAGAAGGGAATTGGATGGCAGGAGCCTCTTGAGTCAACTAGTGGGTAAGCACTTTGCTGCTTTGATAGCCTGTGCTTTGCCTGGCTTAGAGAATCCAATGACCGCTTTGGCTTGTCTCTATTGAGGTTTGGTTTTCTTCCTAGACCTCTAGTTTAATATTTCAGAGAATAAAAAGCAAATAGTGCCTGCCACTTGTGTATGGACATACGCTAACCAGCAGGTTAGGTGGTAAGTTTAGGTCTCTATCCATCTGGCTCATATACCTCTGTGCTCTTTATTGACTAGGGGCAGACCCAGATGCTAAGCTCTGGGCAGCCAGCTTGCTCACTTCTTCACCCTTCCTTATCTTGGGGTGGCGACTTAGACACAGCTCTAACCAACCAGCTATCTCTTTCCTGCCTCTGTACCTTTTCTTGCCTTGAAGTGGAGACTCAGACTCTGTGCTCTAGCCAGCTCTCTCATTTCTTCACGCTGATCTTGGGATGGACAACAAACAAGACTCAGCTTTCACCATTCAGCTTGGTCACGAGTTTGCTCAACTCTGTCTTTGGGTAAAAACCTAGATGCTGACCTCCAGCCAGCCTAGCCATTTAATACTTAGTACTCATTACCTGACTTATGAAATGGTAATAGCTCTCTACAACACCTTAATAATTAAATTATATTTTAAAAAAGAAGTACAACATCCTTTGAGATAAGATGCTGAATTTCCCCCCTTATAGTCAATCTATTGTAATAGATTCAAGTTTATTCTCATAAATTGTTTTTCATGAGTGAGGATATATGTAATGTGGTGAAAGCAGGTCCTACTTTCCCCAGGCATTGAAAATAAACAATCACAACTGAGTCTTCTTCCAAAAACAAACAAATAACAAGAACACCCTCATTATACTACACAAAAAGCCTTTTAATAAAAACCAAAAATAATGACTTCTGAACTTATCCCTTGCATTGAGACAAAAATCTTAAACGCAATTAGTATCTGTATATTAGCACTGACCAGAATTAATAAAATGTCAGAATAAAGAAAACTTTAATCAATGGCTTCAGCTTTGGTTTATTAAGGAATTTCAAAATTAAAAATCCGAAACATATGAAAGGAAAGATTGAAGTGATAATCATTGAAATATTAGAGAAGGCAGTGAGTGTAACCCAAACATTCTTTGAAAAGATGAGTAGTATTGGCAGGAGTTAAAACTCCTGGAGTCTACAATGAGTAAGTTCTATCCAAATAAATTAGTAATTTGAAATGGAAAACTTCTCTAAAGCAGTCTAAATTACTAAATTCTCCAGTGAAAATATTGGTCTGTTTTGCTTCACAGGTACATTCTACAATGCCAATTCATCATAAGCTTTTCCAGAAAGCAGGATAGAAGAACACTTCACAACAAATGCAGCAGTGTTCTGATACCAAACTATGCAAGAAGAATGGGGAGATAAAAACATCAAACCATTATCCTTTTTGAAAAATAGAATGATGTTAGAGAATTTTAACAAATTGAATCCATTATCTCATAATCTCATATATATATATATATGTATATGTATATCACAGCCAAATAGCATGGTTGATTAAAAATCAATCACCATATTAACCAAAATCCTCCACGATCATCTCAAAAAATGCAAAAAAAAAAGGACATGTTGGTGGTTTCTACTGTTAATCCTAGCCATTTAGAAAGTGGAGATTAGGAGGATCACAACTCAGTTCATAGGGAGGAATAAATGAGACTATTGAAAAATAGCTTCAAAAATGCATAAAAGAAGCCATGTGGTGGTGTCTCATGCCTGTAATCCTAGCTATTCAGGAGGCTGAGATCTGAGGGTCCTACCAGCCCAGGCAGGAAAGTCCATGAGACCCTTATCCAATTAATCACCAGAAAACATGAGTGGATCTGTGGCTCAAAGTGGTAGAGTGGTATCCTTGAGCAGGAGAGCCCAGGGACAGCACCTAGAACCTGAGTTCAAGCCCCATGACTAACAAAAAACATCAGCAAAAAGAGCATTTGACAAAATCATAGTATCGATATCTTGTAAACATTTTCTTCATACTAGAAATACAGAAGAATTTCTTCTATCTCGGGAAATATCAATGAAAACTTAGTGTTATATTTCACAAATGCTTTTTCCTCAAGACTGGGAACAAGGCAATGATGTCTGTCTGCTCTTGTCACTTCTACATTGTAGTGAAAATGGAGGCAGGTAGTTCATAATAAGAAAAAACTAAGAGTATCCAGACTAAAAAGAAGCAAAAATTGTCTATTTTCATAGATAACATGATAATCTATATAGAACATGGGATGGAGTCCAAAAAACAAAATTAGAACATAGATAGAAGACCATACATTTCCATACATGAGTAACAATATAGGACCACTAGAAATTTCATACACTTTAGAAATGCAGTATTGCACTTGTGGATATGAAAGTCTATGGCAGCTTTCTCTATAATAACCAAAAACTAGACACAACCCAAATGCATACCAACAGATGAATGAGTCAAAAATCATAGTATGTCCATTAATAGACTTACTGCCCATCAATAAAAAAGAATAAGGTGTTGGTATATGCACCAAAATTTTTGCCTCAGCTCAGACAAAGATGCCAAATACTAAAACAAAATACAAAAGAAAAATTAAAATGCCAGCAGCAAGCTTAGAACACCAGATTATATGGCACCATTCTTATACTTTTCACACTTTCAGAGTTCAGACTCTTTTATCTAAAGACCAGAAGGCCACACCTTCCCTGAGACCATATGGTAAGTGTAGTGGGGCACACATCTACTCTGCCCAGGTCACATTTATCAAACTCTGCCTATCACACAATTGCTTGGTAGAAATGCAAGTTAGGATACACATATTTAACAACCATTCCAATGTGTGTTCAAGTTTAACCCTACACAGCATATTTAAATATCAACATTATGCTTCTTCTGTCTCTGCAGTTAATTTCCATCTTGTCTGACCAAGGTCACGTGAGGAAATAGTGGGGCTAAGACTCAGTTAGGGACAATGTGGCAACACTACCTGTACATACTGCCACACAATGAAAGGGAAACATGGAAATGAACAAAAGAAAAAGGTTTTATATTTGTAAACTTTCAGGAGAAAGCATCCTTTGTCGCCCATGTAAAAACCAGCAAGAGTGCAGCATGTCCCACAGGCAGCAACTACTCACATTTCTTTAACTTTGTCCACGGTTATACCTACAGGAATGACAGTTGGGTATGCATTCATAGAATGGATGTAGTTCAAGAAATCTTTAATCTGGAGGGAACAAAAAAGGAGCAATGAATTCTACAATGAAAATCTGGGATGTTGGAGAAGACATAACGGGAGGCCATGGGAAAGAGAAGCAGAATTCTGATGGCTGTATTTCTTGGTGATGACCACACATTGGGACATCATCTGGGAATCTCCTGAGAAAAATATGCAACACCCAGGGTCTCCTCCCAACACAGAGCTGCAATGGGGATTGGAAGCCAGCATATTGAAACTCTAATTGAGGCTTCTACTCCACAGGAAGAGCTACAAACCTCTGTTTAATGGGATTCAAAGATTCTGTATTTTAAATATAGAGTATCCTTGTCAACTTGTCCAAGAAAGTAGATGCTCATAGTTAACAAATCTTTCAGGTGAGTTAAAATATAACTGAGTTAACTAGAATGCACCAAGAAAAAAAGGCCTTCTTAGAAGAGGAACACAAAGGCACAATACCTATGTGCATCTGATCGTATAAAGTTATAAGCCAATGATGAGGTAAAAACTGGGAGAGAGCAAAGAATGGGATGACATTGTCCAAGAAAAAAAATGTAGTCATTTCCTCACTAATGAAACAACCCCTCTGTACATCACCTTTATAAAAATAATAAAAAATAAATAATTTTTTTTAAAAGCCCAGTTCTGGTAGCTCACATCTAGAATCCTAGCTACTCTGAAGGCTAAGTTCTAAGGATTGTGGTTTGAAGCTAGCTGAGCAGAAAAGAGTATGAGACTCTTGTCACCAATTAACATTCTAAAAACCAGAAATAGAGCTGTGGCTCAAATTGGTAGAGCTCTAGCCTTGAGCAAAACAGCTCAGGGACATTAACAGTCACTGAATTCAAGCCCCATAACCAAAGGGGAAAAAAGCACAAATGTTTGAAAATTACAGCATTCAATAGATCACAAAAAGGACCTTTGTTTGCAGTATAAAGAGCTAAAACAAGAAGGTAATGGCCAGGTGCCACTGGCTCACACCTGTTACACTAGCTACTAAGGTGCCTTATATGGGAGGATCACAGTTGAAGCTAGCCCTGGAAGAAAATCTTATCTCTAATAAACTACTCAAAAAAGGCAGTAGTGACACTGTGGCTCAAGTGGTAGAGTGCTAGCCTTGAGCATAAAGAGGCTCAGGGATAGGACCAAGGGCCTGAGTTCAAGCCCTAGGACCAGAAAAAACAAAAAAGCAAAAAGCAAGGCATTGCATCACCTGGGTCAACTGGTACTGGAAATCACATGTGTTACCACGTGGCCCACATTTTCACTGTTTGCCAGGACGCCTAAAGCACTGCAAGTATCCATATGACTGTGACTGATTAGTAATTATGAATCAGCAAACACGTAAATACAGAATCCATGCATAAAAAGAATCGCCTGTTTTAAAAATTGATCTGAGCAAAGAGACAAACGGTACATGGTCTCCCTGATAAGTGGATGCTAAATCCAAAATGTTAGGTGATACGACAAAATTAACAGGACTTAAGAAACAAAGAACTTCCACTCATCTTGTCGAACCACTACTAAATATCCCCATGCTGCTGATCACATCTATGGTGTATATGTGTACACCGTTAAATGTTATAGACCGTGATAGACAATTTGCTCCAGGAAAGTTAGAATGAATTTGTGCCTTTAAATGAGCATCATTATTCCACAATACTGTGAAATTTGGGAAATTATGTAATCACTTAATCACAATTTAAAAAAAAAAGGACCTCGGGGAAGGTAGGGAGGGAAAGGATGGTAGGGGGGAAACAATGGAGGGGGTAACAATGCTCAATAGGAAGTGTACTCATTACCTTGCTCATGTAACTGTAACCCTCTGTATAGTATCTTTACAATAAAAAATTTTAAAAAAATTGATCTGAAAGGAGATAAACGAACAGGAAGGGAGCAGTCTCACCCAGAAGGCTGCACAGTAACTCAGGCCTATGTGCTTAGGGGATCCTCTGACCTCACTGAAAGATGAGTGAAAGGAGAAGCAGGCTCTGTAGGAACTCTCCCCAGTCCTAAAACAAAACACACAACACAAAAAGTCCCTCTGATAATATAAAATAATATTTAACAAAACTTTAGGAAATAGAAACCAAAGAGATTTTTCCTTAAAAAATAAAGGAATGGGAGTCACTGTCCAAAAAGAAATGTACTCTTTACCTGACATATAAGTGTAAACCACTTTACCTCATTTTGATAATAGCAATAAAAAATACAAAAAAAAAAAAACAAAAAGCAGGTCAGGCACGGGTGGCTCATACCTCTAATTCTAGCCAATTAAGATGCTGAGATCCCAGGGTAACGGTTTAAGGCCAGCCTGAGAAAGTCTGTGAGCCTCTTACCTACAATTAAGCAACAAAAGCCACAAGTGGAGCTGTAGCTCAAGTGGTAGTGGGCCAACCTTATGCACCAAAGCTCAGGAACAGTGCCCAGATCCTGAGTTCATGCTCTAGGACCAGCACCCAAAAAATAAACATTAAAAACAATCTAAAGAGTTGAGTGAATGAATGAATGCATTATTAGGAAAGATGTGATTGCTACTTTTTTTTGTCAGTTGTGGGGCTTGAACTCTGGGCCTGAGTGCTGTCCCTCAGCTCTTCAGCTCAAGGTTAGTGCTCTAACACTTGAGGTACCGTTCCACTTCCGGTTTTCTGGTGTTTTATTGGAGATTAGAGTTTCACAGACTTTCCTGCCCAGGCTGGCAGGAATAGCCAGGATAGCCTCCTGAATAGCTAGGATTACAGGCATGAGCCACCGGCGCCTGGCTGTGATTATTACTTTTTGAAAGAGAAAGCATTGGCTAATAAGCATGCAGAAAAGTGTTCTATTTCACAAGTAATCAATAAATGGTAAGGTGATAATGTAATGTCATTTTCCAAATAACATCAACAAAGATTAAAATACATTCAGTACTAAGGAGATTATAATTAAATGCACTCATTTTTCTGATGGGTTATTAATTTGTTTTCTAGAAAATAAATTGAAGTGTTTCAAGAATCTTAACAAAAAGTCGCTGAGCAAAAAAATAAAAATTGAGCTAACTTTAATACCTTTCCTATTTAGGCTATTCCAGGATAAAGCCATCCAGTGATCAGGAACTTCTTCTTGGGACAGGAATAAACATTTTCTAGAAGTGGAAATCTATTTTTAACCTTCTAAATAACTTGAGTCAAAGGAACTTGGCTCTGGTATGATCACTGGAAAGGTATCTACTCTAGCCAGGAATTCCATGCTCCACATCAACAACTGTAATTCACAGCCCAATACTCAGACACCCTGGGGCTCTAACCATCATATCTTCTTACTACAACAGACTTCTGGGTACACTGGCTAGTACAGAGCTGTAAGTAATATTCTTTTAGTTTAAGATGTGAATTAAAGAAATTATTTCCTAGAATTGTAACATATTCCTTTTTATTTTTTTGTTTTTATACTAATCTAGTGTTTGAACCTAGGTCCTTATACTCTTGGTTGGCTTTTTCTCCTCAAGGTTGGCAATCTACCATTTGAGCCATATAGCCACTTCCATCTTTTTGATGGTTAACTGGAGATAAGAGTCTAGCAGACATTTTTTTTTTTTTTTTGCCCAGGTGTCTTTGAACCATAATTCTTGGATCTTAGCCTCTTGAGTAGCTAGGATTATAGGTATGAGGCCCTGGTGCCCAGCTTGGGATTGTTTTCTTACCTCATGATTAAGTTCATTTTCCTGGTTCTTTCTGCACATGGTGGATAGTTTAATAGTAATTGTGGAATTATGTTTATGGAAATCATCTCACAGGGTAATTTATTCTGATGAAAATACTCCTCTGCCTAGAAAAATATTAAAACATAGTTACATATTTTCAGTAAATTGTTTGTAGGCAGGACCTCAACAAACAGATGTAGGTAAGTTTTCAGCTGAGGAAACAAGTGAGTGATTTCAAATTGAGAAACATTTTGAACTGGCCTGGATTGTTCCAAATTCAAAATGAAAAGAAAAGGCTGGAAACCAGATCCGGAGACCATTCAGGACATACTGAATGCAATGTATGACCCTTAATGAACTCCTGGATGGTTCCACTCCTCAAAAGCTGTAAAGGACAGCAGTAAGACAACTGGGAAAGTCTGAACCAGGACTGTACTGTAGCTACTAGTACTATACTGACACTAAATCTCCTGGGTAGGGTAATCAAACTTCAGTTATGTGAAAGAATTGTCTATCTAAAAGGGCACCATGCTGAAGGCAATCCAGGCTCTTGTGGCTCACGCCTGTAAGCATAGCTACTCAAGAAGCTGAGATCTGAGGATCATGGTTCAAAGGCAACCTAGGCTGCAAAGTCTGTGACTTTTTTAAATCTCCAATTAACAACTATAAAAGCTGAAGTGGAGCCTATGGCTCAAGTGACGGAGCACTAGCTTTGAGCACAAAAGCTCAGGGATAGCACCCAGGCCCTGAGTTCAAGCCCCATTAGTGGAAAAACAAACAAACAAGCAAACAAAAACGATGGGAGCCAAGAATAGTGGCAAACACCTATAATCCCAGTTTTGAGAGGTGAAGGCAGGAGGAGCTAGAGTTTTAAAGCCAGTATAAATTCTACTTACATACACACACACACACACACACACACACACATACACACACACACACACACACACACACACCATTGTTGGGCATGAAGCAAACAACAAAATAGAGGAGAAAATGTTTGTTTTTTATCTACCTTCTTTTTAACCCTTCCAACAATCCACTGTGTATGTGTGAAAATGTATATGTACATGTGAATATATAGATAAAATAATTAAACTCATGAACAGAAATCATAATATGCAGCTCTCTTCCAGTGATCTGAAGTGGAAAGTTTCATGATAATAATTTTTTTGCTTGAAATTATGCTTCATTTTAAGGGCCACACAATTCTACTGATGGTGTTTGGCTGAAGAGGCCAAATATTCCAATATGGTCAGCTAAATATACTGATTCAGTATCTACTGAAACAATTGCTTAACACTTTAATATTAGGATATTTTAAAATTTAAACAATTATAATCATTCAAGTCACGCCATTTGAAGGTGACATTTTTAGTATTAATAACTGGAATCTGAAAACTGCTCAAAAGCAATTTGAAATCCAGCCTCATCCCTAGTATTTAGCAACAGAAGAGATGTAGGAAACATTGCAAACAAATTAGAGCCAGTACTAGTGGCTCACACCTCCCATCCTAGTTCCTCAGGATGCTGAGGTCTGAGGATCAAGATTTGAAATCAACCTGGGTGGGAAAGTTCATAAGACTCTTATCTCCAATTAATTAACAAAAAGCTGGAAATGGAGCTGTGGCTTATGTGGTACACTACCAAGCCTTGAGCAAAAAGGGCATAGGACAGTGCCTAGGCTGAGTTCAAGCCTCAGATCCAGCACCAAAAATTATATATATATATATATATATATATATATACACACACACACACTTATACACACACACACACACACACACATATACATACACACACACGTGGTTTGTTGTTGTTTTTTTTAACTGGTGAGCTTCAAAGTAATTGGAAATGGTGCAAATATAAGTAACTCATTCAAAGTCTGAAAAACTTTATATCTATTTCTCCCAAATGAGAGTAAAAGTAAAATTTATAAGCATGCAAATAGTAGTAGAACATGAGTATATTTGTAAAAATTGTAGGCTATAACATATAATAATTTTTATTACAAATAAATTTCCACTCAAATGTCTGAGGCTAAATTTCATTAAAAAGAAATCTGAGGGTCTGCCTATTAATAATTCTGAGGCATATGATAATAGAATACAGTTATGCATCGATGTATGACTTTGACCTAACACCTTAGGATTCTGAAAAAACTCAAAATTGAATATCTCCAATTGCTGTGTGCTAGATACTCAAGAGGCAAGACATGATAAGCATGGTTTGAACCTAGCCCAGGAAAGACAATTACATGAGGCTGTTATCCCCAATTAACCACCAAGAAACCTGCAGTGGAGGTGTGGATCAAGTGTTAGAGTGCCAGCCTTGGCAGTGCCCAAGCTATGTGTTCAAGCCCCAGTACTAACACAGAAAAAATTAAATGAAATTAAAAATAAGAAAATTAAAAAAACAGAATCTGAGATTCCTTGATGTACAGGAGGGTTTCTGCTGTGCAAGGACCCCCCCCCCCAATAATAAGTACTCATTGACACAGTACCTTTGGATGCCAACACAAGTGGCACTGCATGCTATGATCTGTGGTGAGATGGTGGAGGATGTTGGACATATTGCTAAACATGTCCAGCTTGTCCATAAGCACCTGAGAAAGGAGGTGATGGGAACCATGTTCTAGGACAATTACTCAGGGTCACAGGTGGAAGGAAAGATGGAGAGGGAGGAGAAGAGAAGAGATGGATGGGAGGGGCAGGGAAGGGGAGTGAAATATCGAGGATGAAAGGGAAGAGCGAAGGCCACAGTTCTTTGCCAAACTTGGTGAATAGATACTTGTAGCCATGTGCTGCCTTACAGTTCAGCCACACCACATGGTACAGATTCCTAGTGATCCAGCTTTGTACCAGCTCTAAGATTCCATGTAAGCTCTCCTACACAGGAGTTTTAGGAAAAGCAGAACACTTTGATGAACCTCACATACCCCTTTTCTTCCCAACACAAGTAGCATCTGTCACCCCTCACTTCCAGCTAGACACACAACCCTGACTGGTCATCACCACATCAGCAATTGTGGAGAAGCTCCAGTCCTCTATATGATGACCTAATTAAACCTCAGTGTGATATGCTCAGGGTTTCCTTGCCCTTGTGTGAAAATCTACCTTGAAAAACTAAATGGTGCCCTCCACCCCTAAAAAACATGAAAGTGAATGTGCTTCAGTCACGTGATAAAGTGAAATTTCTGAGGTCTGTGGTATGTCTTTCGTGGAAGTAGGAAGCTGAGGGAGAAAATGAGTTGTGGATGCACAGTACACCACTGAGCTCAGCAGCCTGAGCATATGCAGGTTTTCCTCAATGGCACTCTTCCTGGAAATATAGATGGTTGATAACAAGGTCTACTGTACCTGTATTCTACCTTCTAAATCCATAACAAATGTGTCACACTACACATATCCTTTATAAAAACAGTATATCACATACGCACATGGGGATAGGCAGAAAGAAGTAACAGACTGCCGATAATATTAAGTTGTAGTTGGTGCATCCTGTTGCAAAGTCCCACTCAAAATTAGACCTGGGGATCTTGTTCATGGAAAGCTTCAGGTGCTAAGACTGAGTAAAATCACTGGAGACTTCCACTAAGCAGATCTTCACCCAAGTTCCCCAGTTCAATTTAGAGTTTGAACTTTGCCAGAAAAATGACCAAATCTCCCCATGTTTAGTAATCTTTTAGACCTAAAACATGATTTCTACAAAAATAATACATGTGTGTGTATGTATGTATGTATGTATAAATGAAACAAAATACAGGGCCCCACTTATATAACTGATCCTGGGCAGTGACTCACTGGTAAAAGGATCATAACAATCTCCTGGAAAAAAAAGGGAAGAAAATAACAAGTGAAGTTATCACCAGGACCTAGCTAAATAAAATGGATACCTCAACAATATGCCTCAGTATGGGTCAAGCAATGAATGGACAAATAAACTATGCTCTAAGTCAGGCACCAGTGGCTCATACCTATAATCCTAGCTACTCAGGCCACTGATATCTGAGGATCAAAGTTTGAAGCTAGTTCAGGCAAGAAAGTCTTTTGAGACTTATCTACAAATAACCACCAAAAAGCAAAAGTGAATCTGTGGCTCAAGTGGTAGAGTACTAGCCTTGAGCTAAAATGCTCAAGGACAGTGCCCAGGCCCTGAATTCAAGCCCCATCTGGCACAAAAAGTAAAAAGTTACAATGAGAAAAAATTAACTTCAAAAATATTAACCATTATTTCATGTCCTAAAAATTATAATAAAACTTAATAAACATGACCATGACATAATAACTAGAGTTCCAATAATGAATTGATAAAACAAAAAGGAGTGATTCTGCAAATAATAATTATAAAATAATAAGCCATACTCAAGTCTTTCAATGTGGAAAATAAGTACATCACTTTTAAGGACTGAATATCTCTATTCCTTTGAAAGTCAAGAAGAAAGAGCAACTATCATTGTGGCAGTAAAAAAAGTCCAAAACAGTTCATAGTTACCTCACCTGTGGTTTCATCAACCAAAGATACCTGGGTAGGAGTTTCAATTTCAGTTGGTACCTTTTGAAAGAAAAGATGATAAAAATGAGGGAGGGGGTAACAAGTTTGACAAGAAATGTACTCCCTACCTTATGTATATAACTAACCCTTCTGTACATTGTAAAGTCTGCACAGGGGCACTTCCCTAACTCTTGGCTAAGTTTCTGCCCAGTATCTGTTACCTAGGTAACTGGCAGACCTGGAAGCAATCACTTCCCCTCCTGCTAGGTCACATCCTGGGCCACCTCTGGTCACATGCCTCCCATCTGACCTTAGAAGGGTCCCAAACCCTGAGGTCACATCCAGATCAAGTGTGGCCACACCTTTTCTCCAACTGGTCACAACTCTGCCAGTGCCTGGCTTAGATAAGTCCTGACCCAGGGATGGGTTGCCCTTTCCTTTTCAGCCATGCCTCTCCACCATGCACGGTGGGGGCAGCAGTTTGGTAAATAAACTTCTTTTCCTGCCTGAATAGCGCACGGTGTTCTCTTCATCAGCTACCTAATGAAACCTACCTACTTAATATAACTTAAATACATCACCTTGATAACAAATTAATTTTTTAAAAAGCAGAAAGGAAAAATGGGCATGTATCAGTCCTTCATACTTTGCCATTTCAGACTAGAAGGAAATAAATGGAGAAGTTATATAGACTCTACATAGAGCAATTTCTGATTTATGTTTGAAAATATAATAAAGCAAAAATAAGTTTATTAACTATGAGGAAAACTGTCTTTTCTATCAAGCTATATTGCTTAAGAGTTCGTATTTGGGCCTAATGGCCTGGCTGTTGAGGGAAAGAGGAACTGCTTTGGGATAAGAAAGGAAATGTTAGGTTTTGTCTTAAACTGGTTTCTTTTCAAGATGGATTTAAGACACACCTCCGACTGTTAAAGAAATACCAAAGGGTGTGGGTATATTTTGAGATTACTTACATACAGCTAATCTTATTTCATAATCACCTTATCATTTTACCCTATTCAAATGAGGCAATTACAAGCAGATTGTGAACCTGAGCCCAACCAATCTGAGCAGAGGGGCAGGGCCTGCTGCATTAGGGATAAGTAGGGTCACAGCCTGCCTGCTCTGTGTGCTTGCTTGACAGATTTTTGGCTGTTGGCCAAAATTTACGTGTGTAAATTTACTTGCTAAGGCAATTCTTTATTTTTGTATCTATCATTGTGACTCCTATAATTTTGTTTTGTTTTTTGGGTCCGGTCGTGGGGCCTGAACTCTGGGTCTGGGCACTGACCCTCAGCTCTTCAGCTCAAGGCTAGCACTCTACCATTGAGCCATAGCACCACTTCCAGCTTTTTTCTTTTTCTTTTTTTTTGTTTATATGGTGCTGAGGAATCGAACCCAGGGCCTTGAGCATGCAAGGCAAGCGTTCTACCACTGAGCCACCTTCCCAGCCCACTCCTATAGTTCTTGAAGAGCTTATTTTTAACATTAAAGTAGATCTAGTGATATATATTGTCTCATACCTTTGATATGTACACACACACACACACACACACACACACATCAATACTAGGGCTTAAAACACAGAGCCTTGCTTAGCTTTCTTCCTCAAGATTGGCACACTACCATTTGAGCTACCACTCTACTTTCTAGTTTTTCTGCTAAATTGCAGAGAAGCATCTCATGGATTTGTCCTCCTGTGAGCTTCAAACTGTGATCCTCAGGTCTCACCCTTGTTAATAACCAGGACAACAGGCATGAGCTACCAGCACCCAGCTGAGAGTTTTTAGCAAAGGGGTTGGCCTAGGTTTCCTCTGTTTGAGCTTCAGAATGGTATGTACGTGTTTATGTATCTATGTATGTACATCTGCAAATGTGTATGTACATGTGTGTATATGTATATGTAGGTATTTGCACATATATCAGCTTACTCAAATGTGGGGCAGCAGGGAGTTGGAACTTGAAAGCTTTCACCAGTCAAACATCAAACACTCTTCATGACAGCTGTGTATACTCTGTCAGTAATGCAGTTTTTTTAAACCCTGGCCCACATAAAAATTCCTAATTGTCTCCCTCATGGAGCCCTCCTCTGAAGTAGCCATGGGCACATGCAGATCAGGGTGGCCTGCAAACTCTTGATCTTCCTGCCTTAGACTCCAACATGCTGAGATTACATGTGTGTGCTACCATACATATCTTCATTCTACTTCATTCTTCATTCTAGCATTTTATGTCTCTATTTTTCCTGGTTTATCCCATGATCTAAATAAACTGAGCAATCATAATAATGAATATTCTACAGTGTAAAGTATTAGAATACATCTAGACTCCTTAGGACTAAACAAAGCAAAAGATCTAAATTAAACTTTTGAAGAAGAAAAACAAATTAACAATATTTGAATGCTGACTTTCTCTAAACTTTGGAGTGACAAAAACTAAATGTCACTATTCAATTAGCCTTGTCACTGTAGTGGGTAAGGAATTGGGTTTTGGATGATTCCAATCCTTTTTTTTTCAATCTATGCTGAAGACTTTTTCCCTAATGCCACAAGAATTAACATTATTCAAAACAATAAAATTTACTATTTGTTTCTCCCAAAATCTGTATCTTGTGCTAGTTAACAGCAATTCCATAGTGATAGGAGAGCAGTACAGGAAAACTTTTAAGCTGAATGGAAAAAAAAAACCTCAGTTCCATCCAAAATGAACTACCTTGGGGACTCAGAAATATATTTCTTTACACTGGTTTTCTCTAATAAATGAGAAATTGTTTGTTTAGAAAGTGTTAAGGAGAAGTCCCAATATATCTGTTATAGTCTAGAACTGAAATGTCCCTCAAAAGCTAAGACATTGGACTAGGGGCATGGCTCAAGTGGTTAAGTCCTGTTTGGCAAGCCCAAGGCAGAGTTCAAATCCCACTACCACAAAACAAAAACCAGTTCCTTCTTTAAATGGAAAGGCAACTCCTTCACCTTAAACTTCAGCAGATCTTTGGAACTGCCTTAATCACAGAATATGATAAAAGCAATGCATGAATGTTCAAGCTAGCTTTCCCAACTATAATACTTGAGAATTTGGAATTTAGATTGCAGCAAAACTATAGGAAAACAATTCAATAGTTCAGGTTTAAGAAAATATTCAATGATAGATTCTCAGGAGGAAGACATTGGTAGGATCTCAATTTGAGGCCAGTGTAAACACAAAAGTAAATGAAAACCATTTTCAGCAAGCTAGGTGTGGAAGTGCATGCTATTAGTCCCAACTGAACTAGAAGCATAAGTCCGAAGATTGTCCTGGGCGAACACATGAGAAAGACCTTATCTGGAAAAAAAAAAAAAAAACTAAAGCAAAAAAGAGGTCATGGCCCAAGTTATACAACACCTGTCTAGCAAGCTTAAGATCCTGATTCAAACTTCTACTCTGCACCTCCCCCCCAAAAAAAGAAAGAAAACCCCAATTATACCATAGAATTATTTTTGGGGGGGAGGGGTCCTGTCGTGGGACCTAAACTCTGGGCCTGGGCACTGTCCCTCAGCTCTTCAGCTCAAGGCTAGAGCTCTACCACATGAGCCACAGCGCCACTTCCGGCTTTTTTATTTTTGCTTATGTGGTGCTGAGGAATCAAACCCAGGGCCTCATGCATGCAAGGCAAGCGCTCTACCACTGAGCCATCTTATCAGCCCAACCATATAATTCTTGATAATGGAACATTCTCTATCTACCTCTGTCTTACACACACACATACACACACACACACACACACACACACACACACACACCTATAAAATGAGTAAATGCATCAGCAGTAGTATAGAGGAGTCACACAAAATTAAAATTATGTAAAAGCAAGTAAATATAATAAGACTGCACTGTAGCTCCAATGGTAGTACAGCTGTTTAGCAAGTATAAGGCCCTGAGTTCAAATGCTAGTACTGCAAAAAAAGTGAATTGTGTATGATTCTATTCCTGTAAATTCAAAAGCACCATATCTAACCCATAGTACTAAAAGTCTGAAAATTATATTTTAGGAAGAATGACTGATAGGGGGCAGAGGGCCAAGAATTTGGGTACTGTTCAAGTTCTCCATCTAAATATAAGATACACAGATGTACTCACATGGTAAAAGTTCATCACATTGTCCCTTATGATACATGTACTTTGCTGTCTAGATGTTCTGATATTTTCTTTCACCTAACACACAAACAGTGGCAATATCTTATTACCTGCATTCCAAATTTGTTTTCAAGGTAGTGGCCCTTACTTCTTTCCTATGATCTCTAAGCAAAAGAATAGGGATCATAAACATGTTCTTTATCAGAGGATTCCTTGACCCAAGGCACAGGGGCTGCCATGACCTTCACTCTCCAAAAGAACTGATTTCCCAGAACCCTTGGCTCTTCTCTAGATGATAAATCCTATTCTGTTGTTTTTTTCATGCAGTACTGGCATTTGCACTCAGGGCCTAGGAACTGTCCCTGAGCTTTTTTGCTCAGTGCTAGTGCTCTACGACTTTAAAATTTCCAGATTTTCAATGGTTGAGATAAGAATCTTACAGGAGACTGGAAGAAGATGAGAGAGGAGGAGATGGGGGCTGAGCTCTCGCTAAGAAACCAGTTTTAGTGTTCCAGTGAAAGATCCAAGGCTAGAGAGTCACACTGAGTGAGCCATCATAGTACAGAGATTTTGGCCAGAGAGGAAAAATTCAGGCTGCCTGTTTAAAGAGACAGATTTGACCACGCGCTGATGACAGTGGCGGCAGCTGCTGCTGCTGCCATACCAACAGACAGGGCCATAGAAAAAGGCACCAGAGACAGACTGTGAGGGGCTTCTAATCATACCCAGTGAGAACTGACAAGGAGCAAAATCTTCATTCTGCTGGCCACAGGCAGATGTAGATCATAGACAGCCCAAGGGAAAGGCATGAGTACCTCACAAGACATTCCCACTTCTTCTCACAGGACAGCACTTGGAAAGTAGCCCTTCCCCCATCACCTGAGAAGAATGCCATCTCTGATACTGGCAAAGACTGGGCCAGAGCACCTAGTAGATAACTCAGGCCTGAGAAGCAGTGACTGCGGCACCATTTTTCAACAGGGCAAAAGAATTTGACTAGTGAAACTTAGCTCGACCCAGGAGACAGTTGCCCTTCCCAGGTGGCAGAAGCCCCACCCAGAGTGGGCTGACTTTCTTCACAGGATAAACACAGCCAGAGGCAGCCCTGCCCCTCTGTTGAAGGGCAGCTTTCATAAGTGAAAAAAATAAAAATTCAAAAGTGGATACTGCAAAAAACCTGAGAGCAGCTCCAGGCTGGGCTACAAGAGTCTCGGGAGCTAGCCCCTCAGTGAGAAGTTACTGATTCCAGATGAGCCACAACCCCACCCACCCTCAAGCTCCCTCGAACTGACTCCAAGGTACAGAAAACAGCCAGTTCCCTCCTGTGTGATACACAAAGCACATTGCCACAACTAGTCTGGGAGGAGGATCGAAAAGACCCTGTGAATGTAAGGCAGGCTTCTTTCTGCCTGCTCAAAGTGATTTGAGAAACTAATTAAGCCACAGGTAAACTGAATACTACAAGGAAAACAGAGGCTACAACAAGATATGGACACAGGGGAGACACAAGAACCCCCAAATAAATCGAAGAATTCTTCTTTCTAATTAAGTTTTTAATTTATTTTTACTTCTTTCAGTATTTTCTTTTGTTTTTTTTCTTTTCTTTTTTTGTTCTTTTTGTCTTTTTTTCTCTACTTAATTGATGTTCTTTTCATCCACAGATACAGAGCCAACAGTGATCGTTAGGCCTCCTCCTTCACTGTTTGCATACTTAATTCAGATATTGATTACTCAATTCACAATTTCCCAATCTTTGCACCTTTAGTTATACTTACGTAATTTTTTGAGTTTTTCATTTTTTATATTTTTCTCCTTTTTTCTTTTTCTTCTCTTCTTCCTCTCTGAATTTATGTCTTAGTTATCTTCCCTCTCTTCCTTTCCTTCCCTACATTCCTTGAATCTTGTTTTCTCCTCATAATTTTCCTTATACCTCTTAATTTCTGGCCCTTTGCTCCTTCTTTGATTTTCTTAGTCCATTGATCCCTAGTGGTTTGTTGTTGAGCTAGACTGTATCTGTACTCATTTTGACAGGGTCAAAGTAGCCCATTGCGTTATCCTTTTGGTCCAGATTGTTTCAAACTTCATGACAGATTGGATCACTGGTTACAACTGTATATAATCCCCACTTCCCCCCCAACACACCCATCATAGAAAGGCAGAGATCTATAGGGAAATGCTTATCTATTATTTTGAACCACTAAAATCAGTGTAAATACACAACCCGGGGTTGGGTTTTGTCTTAAAACTATGCTCTGAGGTAGTATTAGTCCTAATTACATATCCAAAAAAGGAGAGATAGAATGAAACATATATATCTTTGATTGTCAACCTCCAAAGACTATGTGACTACAGGGATCTGGATTGGTACTTGTCTTAAACTTGTGCTCTGATTGGTGTGGAACTGGGGTACTTTCAATCCCCTAAAAGAGAGCTAGAGTGAAAGTACACATTTTTGATTGTGAACCTCCAAAACTGCACGACTACAGGGTTTGGGATTGGTGCCTGCCTTAAAATTGTGTTCTGGTGTAGAATTGCAAATACTTTTATCCCCCCCCCAAAAAAAGGAGAGATAGAGAGAAAATACCCATTGTTGATTCTAAACCTCTGAAGTCTGTACAGGGCTCTGGGTTGGTGCTTAACTTAAAATAGTGTTCTAGTGTGGAATTGGTTTTGTCTTCATTCCCAAATGGGCAGAACTAGCTGTAGAAACAAAAATAGAAAGTCAAAGAAACTCAACTCCCACTGAAGATAAAAAGGCAACAGAGCAGTTAATGAATAATCCAGAAAATAGTTTTCAAAATACTCTATAAACTCTACTGGTAAACCTGCCGAATGAAAATATTGAAACCTTTCATAGGGCTATGCATGAGTGTGATGAGCTAACCAAAGATTAATAGATGTATTCATGGAATCTAGAAACCGAAAGCTGAATGAATTCCAACAGAAACAAAGGGAGTCGAATGAAAGTATAGCCACTCAACTAAGGAATTTTAGAGAAAAGCAAATCAAAGAGGTAAAGAAGTCCATACACAGTTTAAAATAATGCTTCAACAAATTAAGCGAAGCCATCAAAACTGACCAATTAGAAGGAAGGGAAATAAAAAAAAAAAAAGTAGAAAGTCTGGACAATAGGCTAGATGATGCAGAAGATCGAATCCCTGGAATAGAAGATAACATGAATTTGTAGAGGAAGAACAGACAATTCAGAAGAAATCTAAGAAATATTATAGATCCATTCAAAATCTAGAAGACACCATCAGAAGGCCTAATTTAAGGCTAATGAGTGTAGTGGAGGGTCTAGAGGCAGAAGGTAAAGGACTATGAACTACACATTCAAAAGGATATGCCCATTCAGATATAAGAAGCCTTTCAAACCCCAAAGGGACCAAACCAATACACAACATCCAAACATCACATTGTAATATGCACAGGAGCAATATAGACCAAGGAAAGGATCCTTAAAGATGTCAGGGAGAAAAGATCAATTACTATGAAAGAAATTCCAACTGCAAAATCAGATAACTCAGCAGAGACCAAGAAAGCAAGAATAGCTGGTTATGATGCATGCCATGCCCTAAAGACAGACAACTATCAAAGAATAGTGTACCTAGCTAAACTCTCCTTCACAGCAAAGAAAAATTGAAACAATATATCTCCACCAAATCAGCATTACAAAAGATACTTAAAAATGCCATACACATAGAAAACCAACAAAAGCACGATGAAGACAGAGAAATGGCCCCCAGAGAATCAGATAATGATAGTAAGAACCCAGTAGTCACAGCACTTAAGAAGGTGGATAACATAGCAGAAACTACTATACTTTAAAATCCTAACTCTCAATACTAATGGACATAACTCTCCAACTCAAAGACATAAATTTCCTAGTTGGATCAAAAAGCAAGATTCTTCTATCTACTGCCTTCAAGAGACACAACTTGCCCACAAAAACAAACATATCCTGAAAATGAGAGGCTGGAACAAACTCTCACAAGCAAACCACCTAATAAACAATTTGGGAAGGGAAATAATTTCAAAAAATCCTAATAACAGATTAAATAGACTTCAAATTAAAATTAGAAGGGATAAAGAAGGACATTATATACTAATTAAGGGATTTCTCCTACTGGGGAATATAACAGTTCTAAATACCTATATATCAAATATAAGAGCACCCACATTTATCCAAGATACAATACTTCCCCTAAAATCACACATATATCCAAACTCATTGATCATTGGTGACATTTAACATACCTCTATCCTCACTGGATAGTTCAACCAGGCAAAAACTCAACAGAGAAACCTCAGATCTAAACAACTACATACACCAATAAGACTTAATAGATATCTAGAGAATATTTTACCCAACCGCATCAGGATGCATGTTCTTCTCAGCAGCACATGGAACATTCTCCAGAATAAACCACATTTTAGGTCACAAAACAAATCTGTCCAATTTCAGAAACATTGAAATTATTCCCTGAATTCTGGTACAACAAAATGGAATAAAATTAGAGCTTACCACCAGAAGCCACATACAGACTGAACAACACATTGTTGAATCACCAGTGGAACATGGAAGAGATTAGAAAGAAAATTCAAATGTTCCTGATAGTTAACAAAAATGAGCTTACAAATTACCAGCTCCTCTAGGACACATAAAAGGCAGTCTTCAGAGTAAAATTGATAGCCCTTAGTTCCTACATCAACAAACTTAGATCTCAAACCAACAATTTAATAATGCATGTGAAGCTCCTTGAAAAAAAAAAATGTCAAATCTCAATCCAGTAGACAGGAAAAAAAATAATTAAAATTAAATCACACTTAAATAAATTGGAGTTTAAAAAACATAGAAAGAATATACAAAAAGAGTTGGTTTTGGAAAAATTAACAAAATTGACAAAAATTTAGCAAATTTTACCAAAAAAGAAGAGAATACACCCAAATAAACAAAATCAGAAATGAGAAGGGAAACAACCATGCAGAATATTCAGAACATTATAAGAAAATGCCTTTCAATACTTTATGCTAACAAATTTGAGAATATGGAAGAAATGGAAGAATTTGTAGCAAATACTGATATGCCCAAACTAAACCAAAATAATTTAAACCAACTAAACAGACCTATATGAAACATTGAAATAGAAACATCAATAAGAGCTCTCATCCAAGAAAAGCCCAGGAACCGATGGATTTATAGCTAAATTCTACAAGGCCTTCAAAGCAGAAGTCACACCAATACCCCTCCAACTCTTCAATGAAATTGAAAGCGAAAGATCACTACCAAATTCTTTCTATGGAACCATCGTAACCCTCATCCCAAAACCAGGCAGGGAATCATCAAAGAAAGAGAACTATAAACCCATTTCCTTGATGGACATTGATGCAAAACTTCTCAACAAAATTTTGGCCAGTCAACGTCAACAACTTATCAAAAAAATTGTACACCATGACCAAACAGGATTCATTTCAAGGATGCAAAACTGGTTTAATATATGCAAATCAATTAATATAGTTCATCACATCAACAACAACAAGGATAAGAACCAAATGATTAAATGAATAAGTGCAGAAAAACCATTTGACAAGATCCACCACCCCCTTATGATGGAAGCTCTAGAAAAACTAGGAATCCATGGAACATTCCTCAATGTAATAAAGGCTGTGTATGACAAACGTACACCAACATTATACTTAATGGCGAATAGCTAAAGTCATTTCCTCTAAAATCAGGAACAAGACAAGGATGTTTACTCTCTCCATTTCTCTTCAATTTAGTATTAGAATGCAATAAGATTCAAACATAAAGGGGATCCAAATAGGGAAAGGTGAAGTAAAACAATCCCTCTTTGCAGATGACATGATCTTATATTTAAAGAACCCAATGAACTCCACTCCCAAATTACTGGAACTGATTCGAAACTTTGGCAAAATAGCAGGGTATAAAATAAATCCTCAAAAATCAATGGCTTTTCCATATGCCAACAATGAGAAGAGCACGGCTGACATCAGGAAAGCAACTCCTTTTGTAATAGCCCCACAAAAAATAAAAAACATAGAAATTAACCAAAGAAGTGAAGGACGTCTATGTTGAAAACTTTAAAAACCTGAAAAGGAAATTAAGGCAGAACTTAAGAAGTGGAAAAACCTCCCAAACTCCTGGATTGGGAGGAGTACCATCGTGAAAATGGCAATACTTCCAAAGGCTATCCACAAATTCAATGAAATACCTATCAATATTCCAACCTCTTTCTTCAATGAAATAGAAGAAGCAATCCAAAAATTCATATGGAACAATAAAAGACCCTGAATAGCAAAAACAATCCTTAACAGAAAGAACAGTGCTGGAGGAATATCAATACCAAATTTCAAACTCTACTACAAAACCATAGTAATCAAAACTGCTTGGTACTGGCACAAGAACAGACTTGAGGATCAGGGGAATAGAAGACCCAGAAATGAACCCGCAGACCTATAGCCAACTAAACATCTATAAGGAAGCTAAAAAAATATAGAATGGAAGAAAGACAGCATCTTCAGTAAATGGTGCTGGTGAAATTGGATAATCACCTGTAGAAAACTAAAGCTAGATTCGTATATATCACCCTGCACCTGAATCAACTCCAAATGGATCAAAGACCTCAGAGTCAAAGCAGACACCCTGAAAACATTACAGGGAGAAATAGGAGAGACCCTAGATCTTCTTGGCACAGGTCAAAATTTTCTCAATATGGACCCAGAAACAGAACTAATTAAAGAAAGGTTAGACAAATGAGATTGTATGAAACTGCAGAGCTTCTGCATAGCAAAGGACATAGCTAGCAAGATCAATAGAAAGCCCACGGATTGGGAGAAGATCTTCACTAACCATACAACAGACAAGGGTCTCATATCTAAAATATACTTAGAACTCAAAAACAATAAATGCCCCAATAACATATCCTCAAAGAAACAACTTCCCGATAAATAAGTGGGCTAAAGGATTGAAGAGAAACTTTTCTGAAGAGGAAGTAAGAAAGACCAATAGACACATGAAGAAATGCTCAACCTCCCTAGCCATAAAAGAAATGCAAATCAAAACAACATTGAGAGTCCACCTCACCCCAGTTCAAATGGCTATAATCAGGAAATCTAATAACAGCAGATGCTGGAGGAGATGTGGCCAGAAGGGAACCCAACTGCATTGTTGATGGGAGTGTAAACTTGTTCAAACACTTTGGAAAGTAGTATGGAGGTTCCTCAAAAGACTCCCTATAGAGATCCCCTATGACCCAGCAATCCCACTTTTGGGCATTTACCCAAACGATCACAAACAAGGCCATATTAGGGCTACCAGCACAACTATGTTTAGCGCAGCATTATTTACCATAACTAAGATATGGAACCAACCCAGATGCCCCTCAGTAGAAGAATGGATCAAAAAAAGTTATATATATATATATATATATATATATATATATATATATATATGAATTCTATAGCTCAATCAGAAAGAATGGCATCTCCCCATTTGTTAGGAAATGGAAAGACTTGGAGATAATTGTATTAAGTGAAGTAAGCCAGATCCAAATACATAGGTCTCATGGTTTCCCTTATTTGCAATAACTAGTGCACATCTAGGATAATCTTACCAAAGAAGCAGAAAAGCTCAAGAGTTTTTCTTTACTATAAAATTTTTTCATTTCTCCATTGAATGTGAATGCTAATTTTGCTGGGTATATCAATCAGGGCTGGCAGTTATTGGTTCTCAGGGCTCAGATGGTACTTTCCCAGGCCTTTCTTGCATTCATTGTCTGTGTGGAGAGATGATTCTAATTTTTTCCCATTGTAGTATAGCTCCTTCTTTGTTTTTGCTGCATCCAAGATTGTTTCCTTATTATTCAGCTATATCATTATTACTATAATGTGCCTAGAAGTGTTTCTCCTGGGATCCTGCTTGTTAGGTGTTCTATATGCTTCTGTTAATGTAGGTAAGGTGTTCTCTTTTAAGATGGGGAAAATTTTCATTGATAATCTTGTTGAGTAGGTGTTGCATTGCCTTTCTTTGATATTCCTCACCTTCGTCCACTCCAATTATACAAAGGTTAAATTTCTTTGGACTACTTGCTCTTGGATTTTCCGTTGGCATAATTTAAGTGATTTTTCCATATCTGTGATTTTTGTTTCAGTTGGTGAATTCTGTCTTCAGTATCTGACTCTCAATTCCATTTCGTTCACTCTGTTAACTATGGTTTCCATTGTGGTTTGCATGGAGGAAATGGACTCATTTATGGATTTGATGTTGGTTCTCAAAGTACTAATCTCACTTCTTATTGAAGTGTGTACTGCCTCTATTTTTGTACTAATCTCACCTCTTAGTGAGGTGTCTACTGCCTCTGTTTTGCGTGCACCTCCTGTTTGAGATCCTGCATTTCTTTCGATAGTTCATCCTTGTGTTCCTTAAATTTATGGTCTATTTCTCACTTTAATTCTTGAGTCATTGCCTCCAGCATCTCTTGGATGTAGCTTTTGTCTTCCATTCCTGCTTTGCTCCCACTGGGGTTCTCCCCTGGGTGGCTGCTGGCTTTTGGGGGTAGCTTGCTATCCTGGGTGTTGATAAACCTTGTAATTTTTCTCTGTGATTTTCGCATGGGGATTTAGGGATTATTGGAGACTACCTGAAGTTTTGTTTTGGTCAATAGGTATCTGTCTTTGCTTGGTTGCTGTTTTTGCGCTGTCAGAGAGAGTCTGTACCTGGTCTTGGTTCTATTGGGGGCCTACCTCCAGCTAGTGGTCTACCCACGTAGGGCTCTTGGCTCTCTGCTGTAAATCACTGGTAGTTCCTACCTTTAGAAAGACTCAGCAGCCTAGACTGCTCCTGTTTACTCCTATAGGTGCTCTTGGAGTCTGCTATGGGCTCCTGATGTTTGTTTTTTGGCCTGTTGTGGGCCTGAACTCTGGGCCTGGGCGCTGTCCCTCAGCTATTCAGCTCAAGGCTGGCGCCGTACCATTTGAGACACAGTGCCACTTCTGGCCCTTTCTACTTATGTGGTTCTAAGCAATCAGATCCAGGGCCTCATGCACACAAGGCAAGCACTCTACCATTGAGCCACCTTACCAGCTTGAGCTCCTGACTATTATCAGGTGCTGGCAGCCTGAGTTGTCCAATTCCTGGACTGGGATATATGGGTCGGGTTCTGGTGGGGTTTGGGCTATTGGTTCTCTTACCCTGGACAAGCAGGTCTTTTGCTGTCACGGGTGTGATTCCCAGGGTGTGCAGTTCCCTGTTTTCCCCACCTCTGCTGAGGTATATGCTCAGTTGCTGACTTCAATTGGGCAGAGTTGGTTGTATTGCTCATCACTGATCCCCTGGCCTGGTCTTGGCTTCTGGTCCCCAACCTGGGGCACGCCAGTTGGACCTGTCCTGCTGTGTATCCCACCTGGGTAATGCAGCCTTGAGTACACAGTTCTAGTTTCTTCCACTGTTGGCTGTTGTGACCCAGGGGCTCTGTTCCTGGCTTGGGTGTTTAAGCTCCCTTCCAGGGGCACTCTTGATCTAACCTGGTGAGCTGGATGTGCTCCACAGGCTGGTGGAGCTCTCGAACAGTTCCCAGTTTTAGTGGGTCTTATAGTCCAAGTGTTGGAGTAGGGGTCTGGGTCAAGATCTGGGGGTTCCCACCAGCCCTAATCTCCCTTAAGGAGGGATACGCTGTCCCCTGTGCAGTTGTTTCTGTGTGATATAGGTCGCTGGTTTCCGCTGCAATCAGAGTTCAGTTGAGATGCTTGTGGGCTGAGTCGGGCAGTGGTGGCTCTGCGTGTTTCTCCTCTGTCCCTGCCTCTGTTGATGCTGTTCAGGTTGGCACTGCATAATGGGCCACTCCTTGGGCACAAGCTGATGCACGCCTCCGGCCAAGTGGTGGGTGAGGGTTCTCCATGCAGGTTCTGAGCACTGGGATTTGTCTCTGTGCTCTCCAGATCAGCACCAGTACCTTGCAAGTCTTCTGCTCTGGTGTTCTGTGGGCCACCCATGTATTTCTGGAGTTCCCACCATGGGAACGAGTGGCTCTGGTGGGATGGAGTCCCTCTGCTCGGAGAGTGAGGGGTGGGGATGGGATCTTTGTGCAAGCTCCCGGCTCAGAGGTTTCTCTGTTGTTGTGATCAGCTGGTCTGACACTGGTACCTCAGGCGTCTTCTGCGTGAATGATCTGCAGACGACCCCCTGTGTCTCTGGGGACTCTGGCAGCCCCACATGGCTGGGCTGGCTGAGGCTTGGTGTGTTGCTGCACAGCCATTAATGGTTGGGGGAGGGGTCTTCGTGCTTCTCTGTTCTAAAATTCTTCCTTTTCTTTCTTTCATTTTTGTTTTATTCCACCTCCTGTTTTTCTTTTTGTTTTCAGGTTTTTGTTGTTGTCCTTCTCTTGGGGAAATTAAACGTTGGAACTGGAACTCTCTTTTTGGTTGGAGAGAGCTGTGGTGTTTCCCTACTGTCCTGTCACCCTCTTGTTCCCCTCCACCTTGTAAGATTTTTTTTTTTTTGATGAGATGTTAAAATCGACTATCCAAATTCTTGTTGAGAAGTTTTCCATTGATGTTCATCAAAGAAATGGGTCTATAGTTCTCTTTTTTTGATGAGTCCCTTCCTGATTTGGGGATGAGGGTTATGATGAATTCATAGAGTTTGGTAGTGAATTTTCTCTTTCAATTTCATTGAAGAGCTGGAGGAGTATTGGTGTGAGTTCTGCTTTGACGGCCTTGTAGAATTCTGCTGTAAATCCTGGGCTTTTCTTAGATAAGTAGTCTCTTTTTTTTTATTTTTATTTTTCCCAGTCGTGGGGCCTGAACTCTGGGCCTGGGCGCTGTCCCTCAGCTCTTCAGCTCAAGGCTAGAGCTCTACCACTTGAGCCACAGCGCCACTTCCGGCTTTTTTCTTTTTGCTTATATGGTGCTGAGGAATCGAACCCAGGGCCTCATGCATGCAACACAAGCGCTCTACCACTGAGCCACCTTCCCAGCCCCGATAAGTAGTCTCTTATTGCTGTTTCGATTTCAATGCTTGATACAGGTCTGTTAAGTTCATTTAATTCATCTTGGTTTAGTTTTGGCATGTCGATATTTGCTAGGAAATCATCCATTTCTTCCAGATTGTCAAACTTATTAGCAGAACGGTTTGAGAAGTTTTCCCTTATACTGGTCTGAAACTTGGTTGTTTCTGTAGTGATTTTTCCATTCTCATCTCTGAGTTTGTTTATTTGGGTGTGTTCTTTTTCTGATAAGATTTGCTAAGGGTCTGTCAATTTTATTAGTTTTTTTCAAAGAACCAACTGTTTTGTTGATTCTTTCTTTGGTTTTTTGGGATTCTAATTCATTCAATTCTGATTTAATTTTTATTATTTGTTTCCAACTGCTGGATTGAGGTTTATCTTGCTGCTCATTTTTGTGGAGCTTCAGATGTCTCATTAAATTTTTGGTTTCAGATCTTTCCAACTTGTTGATGTAGGAACTCAGACCTATAATCTTGCCTCTAAAGACTCCCTTTGCTTTGTCCCAGAGGAGCTGGTAATTTATGTATTCATTTTTGTTGAATATCATGAACATTTGAATGTCCTTTCTAATCTCTTCCATGAGCCACTAGTGGTTCATCAGTATGTTGATCAGCCTTATGTGTTACATGACTTTCTTTGGTGGCTTTTGGTGTTGAGTCCCAAGTTCATTCCCTTGTGGTCGGAGAAAATGCAGGCTATAATTTCAATGTTTCTGAATTTGGACAATTTTCTTGTGACCTAAAATGTAGTCTATTTTGGAAAATGTTCTGTGTGCTTCTGAGAAGAACGTGTATTCTCATACTGCTGGGTGAAATATTCGGTAGATGTCTGTTAAATCTAGTTCATCTATGCAGTTGTTTAGATCTGCAGTTTCTCTGTTGATTTTTTGCTAGGCTGGTCTATCTAGTGGGGATACTGGTGTATTAAAGTGCCCAAGAAGTAATGTCTTTGGATCTATGTGAGATTTGAGGGAAAGTAGTGTTTCTTGGATACATTTGAGTGCTCCATTATTTGGTGAATAGATATTTAGAATTGTAATATCCTCCTTAAGGAGAGATCCCTTAATTAGTATGTAGCGACCTTCTTTTTTTTTATTTTTTTTATTGTGAAAATACCGTACAGAGGGGTTACAATTACATGGGCAAGGTAATGAGTATATTTCTTATCAAGCATTGTAGCCTCCTCCTTTGTTTCCCCTTCCCATCCCTTCCCAGCTTCCCCCCGCCCCCCCAACCCTCCCCCCCCACCAAAGTTGTAAAGTTCATTTTCAACATGACAACTTGTACTTCTCATTGTTGCAACGGGTCCACCTGTATCCTTATTTGAAGTCTATTTTATCTGATATTAGGATTGCAACTCCTGCCTGTTTGTGAGGGCTGTTTGCTTGGTGGATTTTATTCCAGCCTTTCACTTTCAGAATATGTTTGTTTTTATGGTCAAGGTGTAACTCTTGAAACCCACAGAAAGGATCTTACTTTCTAATCCAACAAGACAGTCTATGTCACCTAATTGGAGAGTTAAGTCTATCAATATTGAGAGGTAGGACTGAATGCTGTTATCCACCTCCTTGGGGGCTGTGCCAACTGGGTTCTTATGATCTTTGGTTTTTCTCTTTGGGAGCTCTTTCTTAGTCTTTATCATGCTCTTGTTGGTTTTCTATGTGTAGGACATCTTTAAGTATCTTTTGTAGGGCTGGTTTGGTGGATATATATTGTTTCAATTTTTATTTGCTGTGAAAGTTTTTTATTTGTCCTTCAGTTATCAAGGAGCATTTAGCTGTGTACAGTATTCTTGTTTGATAGTTGTTTCTCTTTATAATGTGGCATATATAATTCTAGGCTGTTCTTGCTATCATTGTCTCTGCTGAGAAATCTGAAGTTATTCTATTGTTTTCCCTTTATAGGTGATTGATCTTTTCTCCCTGGTAGCTTTAAGGATCCTTTTCTTGGTCTGAATTGATCCTGTGTGGATTATAATGTGATGGTGGTATGTCCTTTTCTTGTCTGGTCTATTTGGGGTTCCAAAGGCTTCTTGTATGTGGATGGGCCTATCTGTTTGCAAGTTTGGAAAGTTCTCTGCTAGGTTCCTGTTCAATAAATTTTCTAGACCTTTAGTTTCTGTGTCTAAGCCCTCCTCTACACCCATTAGCCTTAAATTAGGCCTTCTGATTGTGTCTTCTAAATATTGAATAGGTCTATCATATTTCTTGTATTCGTCTTGAATACTTATCTGTCCTTTATGATGTCTAGGCTGTCTTCAATCACAGAAATTCGATCTTCTTCATGGTCTAAACTACTGTCAAGTCTTTCTGATTTGTTTTTTATTTTCTTTTCTTCAAACTGGTCAAATTTGATGGCTTCAAATTCTTTGTTGGAGCTTTGTTTTAGATCTTGTATGGATTTCTTTACCTCCTTTATATGGTTTTCTATGTTCATTCTCACATCACTTAGTTGATTAGTTGTAGATTCGTTGGACTCCCTTGTTTTCTGTTGGGCTTCATTCAGCATTCCTTTTGTGGCCTCCATGGATTCCTCCAGCTTTCTTTTTGTGGATTCCATGATTGTCTCTATTATTCTTTGTTTATTCTCATTTCACTCATGCAATTCCTCTATTAATCTTTGATTATCCTTGTCATGCTAGCAAAATTCCCCTATGAATCTTTGATTATCCTCCTCATGCTTGCAAAATTCCTTTATTAATCTTTGGTTAACCTCATCTGAATTTCTTATTTACATTGCTAAAGTTGCAATGGAGGTAGGAATGGAAGAAAGAACCTTCTGTGTGTGACAGAGGAATGTAACTTGATATTACTCACCAGGGAAAAGGAGAGGACATCAGGGAGGCAAATGTTCTTGGACATAGACATCCTATGTTTAGTTAAGGCAATCTTAGCAGTCAGTTGGTGAGCCTCTCATTATTGAATGCCATGAATAACTGAATATCTGAATATATGAATTTGTAATAAAAATAAATGTTTTTCTGGTGCCAGATGTTAGATTTGCATACTAGCATCAAGTTCTGATGTGAATTTCTTTGGTACAATTAGATAAATATTTAACACTATGAAGAAGAGCATCATGATTGGACTAGCAAGTTTGAGGTTAGCTGTCTACATAAAATACATTACAAAAATAAATATGTAATTGAATAAATAAATAAATGAGTAATTATCATTAATGAGATGGTACCTGAAGTTGAGCCAGGAAAAATTAACATGAGAAAAATGAATCAAACCCTAATACCATAACAAATAAATAATGAATCATCCATAAATAAAGGTGTGGAACTGAAGCTTAACTGCTAAGAACTGGCCTTGA